GTTTAACATGCCAAAATAGAGATTGAAAATGGGAGGAAAACATTCCTTAAATGAAGTAGTTTTTTTAAAGACTTGCAATGGGGAGAGGGGGGGCACTATCATTCTCCCCTTTAAAAAAATATAAATTGCATACACAATGTATGTAAAAGAGGTCAGGCTATAATTGTATGGTGCCGGCTATCCTCTTGACATTTTTGAAATACACACTCTCTTATACACACATACCCATGCCCTTGGCTCATATTTAATTTGATTCAATGATGATGGCATTAGAACAGTTCGCTGGCTGGGGAATTCTAGGAGTTGAAGTCCGGACATCTTCAAGTTGCCAAGGTTGAGAAACACTGCATTAGAATGTACATGGATTTATTCAGCAACAGAGCAAATAAACCTGATCATCAGCTTTCAAAAAGGGTTTTTTCCCCCTGTTTTGGCAAGCAAGCTCATGCCTTCCAGCGTGACAATATTTTAGAATGCCTTTTTCCACAAGCCAATCCCTAAAGATGCTACAACCATAAGAAGAGAACATTAATTTTCAGCTGCTCTTTTCTCACAAGGTCATTCTGTAGTAAAACAATACAAGGAGAGCAAATGAATTATTGATCGCTCGTGTAATTTAGCACTCAGGAGTCACTGATGTTACAAATTCAATGGTAATTAAGTGTATGCAAAGGCAGAAGCTGCAAGCAGCAGCTGTATTAAACTCTAAGCAGCTTTTTGCCACACATAATGCGGTGGCAGGTCTGGGACATATTTTACAACTACTCAAACAGCGTTCCTCAGGGAACAATAATCAACTAGCTGCTACTGCAGTTTATAATCTACTCAAATAGCCTTTGATAATTAAGCTAGAAATTAAGGAACATCAACTTGTTTACGGTATCTTTAATCTTGTCTTTGTTTTATTAGCTTCCCATAAATACTGCTGTTCTTAAAAGCTTATCTGTAATGTGGAATCCCTGCCAAATATGTTTGCTAAAGGTCACATGTGCTGTTCCCACTGGAGCAGCTGAAAAAAATTGCTGAGTCAGTAGCAGTCAGTGAGTACCTGGACCTGACAATTCTATAAAACCAGGCTGCCTCGACTGCTACACATTCAGGCATTAAATATGGTAGTTCCTATCATTAAGAGCAATGGGGCTATAATCTGACCCATCTGGAGAATAGCAACATTGTGCATCGGCAAGCTGTAACAACCTGCTATGGCAGCCTGCCTGCCAGGCTTCCACGCCAGACAGTAAACTGCCAGCTCAGACATTCAAATCAACATCCTCTTGACAGAGGGATGCTTATTTTAAAATGTAGCATAAAGAGATGTTCTCTGAAGTCCTTTCTTGCCAGACAGAAGAGCTTTCGTTGTTTGGAAAACTGCACTCAAAACTAAGGAGGAGGTGGAGGAGGACTTTGTTGAGTACTCTTGCAACCTTATTGATAAAATAAAATACAGTACACAATTTTGTTCCAGAATAAAATAAGATGGGAGGAAAGATAGGATAAAATACTTATGTGGTAATTCAAAATGTCAGTAATCAGATAAATGACTCTGTCCCTTACAGAGTGTCCCAATTTGTCCAATGTATTGGGGTCTTAGGATCACTGCCTTAGTTATAAATTTAGCAGTTTTGCACACAATATGTACATTTGAGCCAGTGGTGGGATTCATTTTTTTTTTACTACCGGTTCTGTGGGTGTGGTAGGCATGGTATGCCCCCCCCCCATTAGGCTTAAATTCTTTCCAATAAGGATGAAGAATATTTAAGCCTAATGGGAGGGGGCATATCAGGGGTGGGTTTCAACCGGTT